ATGATTTTAGCAAATGGCTGCAATATAACAAAGAGTGAAAAATTGAAGGGGGTCTGAATACTTTCCGTACCCTCTGTGTGTATATATATATATATATATATATATATATATATATAATATATATAATATACTCTCACACACACGCATTTTTAAATATATCTATTCATTGGACTTTGCTTGTGTTGCTGCTTTAAGAAACATTATCATAATGTTTGTACTAGGTACGTATATCATAAGATGCACAAATGCATGTATTGTACAGACAGGAGTGTTTAATTGCGTAGCACATAAAGTATTTAATTGAACTCTATATGATCAAAAAACAAAATGGTAACCATATAATAATCGCTGACTTTCCAGGTGGCCACAAACAACTACTTGGCCCTGAAAGAATTTTTCAGGTTGTTTCCTGAGTTCAGCAAGAATGAGTTTTTCTTGACTGGCGAGAGCTACGGAGGCATTTACATTCCAACGCTGGCTGAGATCGTCATGGAGGACAGCAGCGTTAATTTACAGGTAGGAAGGAGGGACTTTATTTTGACTGTATTTCCCATAAACAACACAGACATTGAGCCAGCAGAGTGAATGACCGACGTGTGTGTATTTGTGTCTTTAAGGGTATTGCTGTAGGAAATGGCTTGTCCAGTTATGAACTAAATGACAATTCACTGGTCTATTTTGCGTACTATCATGGACTTCTTGGGACCAGGTGTGATATATACTTTTTTCGTGTTGCTCTATTTAACATGCACTCTTTTATGCATGTAATTTGCATGGGTCTGCATGGGCAAACAGTATAAACTGTAAATGTAAATTGTAAATAAAGTAAATGCATTGTAAAAAATAATTTATTTGTGTATTTTGCTTTTATGTATTTGTATATGTGTATTCATTTTTTTTTATTTGTTTTATATATAGCTTGTGGAATGACCTGCAGAAATTTTGCTGCAAAGATGGAGTGTGTAACTTCTACGATAACCAAGATGTGAACTGCTCGACTTCTGTAAGTTAAACAGTGCTCCACTAATGGCTTAAGATGTCATGTCATATATTCTTTACTTATCTTTTCTTATCTTTCTGTCACTCTTTAGCTCACTACAGTTCAAATTATAGTCTACCAGTCTGGACTCAACATGTATAACCTGTATGCACCCTGTGCCGGAGGTGTTCAGCAGAGAGTCAGGTGAGCTTGGATCAGTTATGTGGAGTAACTGTTCAATCTCATTTCATATGAAGACGTTTCAGTGTCATTTTGTACTGTGTTCTGAAACCAGCATTGAAAACGGCCAGTTTGTGATCCGAGACCTGGGCCACCACTTCGTCAACCATCCATGGTCCAAAGCACAGAACGAGGTAGAGAAACCAATTTATGTGCTGCTTTCGGACTACAAACTTCACTCAGAATGAAAACAAAAATTGTCACTCGCTCATTACTTCCCTCATATTGTTTCAAACCTGTATGAGTTTGTTGTGCAACACAAAATTATGTTTTTAGCTATTCTGATGCTCATTTCCATACAATGAAAGTAATATTTTTGATTTTAATACACTGAATATATTCCCATTCACGGCAGCTCTGTCATTTTATTTGCATATTGAAATTATGACTTGTTTCACCCACACCACTGGTTCTTGCGTGTCTCG